GCAGTGCGCGTTGAAAAGGATGAAAGGAAAAAAGGCTTTTCAAAGAAACCTGATCAACGGAAACCTGCTCCCCACCGTAATTTCAAGAAGGACCCGTCTCTTACGAAGGACACTGTGGGGGAAGGGCAAACGGATGCGGAGAAATCGAGTGGGGTTCCTAAACAACGCACTGATACCACACGGGCGTTTGAATTACGGAAGCCACTAATCTGCTACAACTGCAAAAAAAGGGCACATCGCGTTAAACTGTAAGCAAAAGTTTGCTTTCGCAACACTTCGAGAATCGGAAAAGAACATGCGGTTGTTAGAGCCGTATATCCAAGAAATTAGTTTGAATGGGAAAACGTGCCGAGCACTTAGAGACTCAGCGGCAACCATGGATGTTGTCCATCCTTCATTGGTGTCTCCGGATGACTCTACAGGAGAATGCGCGTGGATCAGGCAAGTCACCGAGGAGCAGAGTGTTTGCTTACCAATCGCCACGGTTGTCATTGAAGGCCCGTTCGGTAAGCTTCGCACCGAAGCGGCTGTGTCTGCCGCGCTAAACGATCGTTTTCCTTATTTTTTCTCCAACAACTCAGAGCAGCTTCTCAAAAAGCAGGGTAAATCATTCTTCCCAAACTTAGCGTGCATGGCCCTCACGCGATCGCAAGCGCGGAAGCTTTCGCGGAAACTTGACCTTGTTCAGTGCGGTGAACTCTCAAGTGACCTTGTCGGCGGGTCGACGGAACCTCAGAGAGAAAATTTTCCGCGTGAGTCATGTGAGCAGTCGCGCGAGCGGCCCGTCGCCGAACCGACCGGCGCGGTTTCCGTGGAAAGGGGAGACGACATGGCGCCATTGAGTCAGAGCGAGAGGGCTGCAACGCTCTCGCCTGTAGCGGAAAGTTGGAGCGAGCTGCCGAGAGATGATCGAGAGACGCCCATTCGACAGCAGCGTGCGGACCTCTCGATTAAAGCGCTAGGGGAAAGCCACATGAAAGCTGCACAAGTGTTGTCGGAGTACAACGGCAAATCGGCGAATAAGCGCGCTTTTGAAGTAGGTGGTCAGCCGTCCAAAAGGAACAACCTTGAGGTTCATTGGGAAGGGCCCGCCAAAGTAATATCCAAGCTTTCCGATATGAATTATGAGGTGAAATTAGGAAGGCGGCCTAACAAAATTTACAACTTGATGAAACCATACGTTCAACGCCAAGCGGTCGTAAATCTGCTGTTGAATGCTTCAGAGGAAGAGGGAGCAGAAATTTTGAGTTCTTGTGATGTAATCGAAAGGGGATTGAAGGTAATCTTGGAACAGTTGAACCTAGAGCCTAGGTTAAGTGAAGTTCAGAGGGAGGACCTGAAAAGGATTGTTTCCGAGTTTGGAGACGTGTTTTCGGACCGTCCCGGAAACACGACGGTGATCGAACACGATATCGAGCTAACTGGTGAGGAGTCAATCCGTAGCAAGCCGTATCGTTGTTCCCCTCTGCAACGTCGCAAGTATGAGCCGCTCTTGGTACCGCATAGGTATCGTCGCCTAAAAGTGGCCGGCTACTGAGATGGAGCGTGATACTCCAACAGCGCAACTTTGACGTTCGCTACGAAAAAGCAAAGCTATAAACCCTAATGCAGACGCATTGAGCCGTGCGTTTTAGTACCTTCTCCACCTTTTCGGTTTCTCGCTGGCGATTCGGGGCAAAATTTTGACCTCATCACGACCTGAGCTGAGCGCTCTCGTCCAGAGTGAGCTCAAGGGGCCAACTTTATGTGGTATTCTAATTCGTTGCGTTGTTGTACGTGTGAAAATTCGAGTTCTTATTTTAAGAGTCTTGTGTCCCACATGTGCCTTTTGATGTAGAGGGAACGAAATTGCGATAGACACGTAGCTAGGTATATGTTGTACTATACTTTGTCTGGTGTTCTGTCGGGTGACCGAGGGCACTTGCTTGTGTCGTGTGTTGTCTGTTGTCGAACCGTTCTTGACAAGTTGCTGAACCTTCGACCAGTGATGAAACCAAGGATCGTCAGAGACGAGCGAAGCTGGTCGGCAAGTTGTGGCGACAAGCCAGTGGAGCTGGGATCCGTCCTCAAGAATGGGATGTGTTCCCTGAACGGAGTCTGGAGCTGCATTCTACCCATGGCCCTGGTGGCGAACCTGGAGGGACCTGGCGAACGAGCGCGCCTGTCATCCGAGCCCCGTGGAAGCAGCTCGTCTTTCCGGCGCATTGTCTGGCGGCGGGGGTGCTGTTATGCCTGCGAGTCGACAGCGAACGTCCGTGCCTCTGAAAAAGGCAATCTGTGTCAAGGCCAGCCCGCCTGAGACGAACAACTCAACGGCGTCATCACGCCACAGCGCCTTTCTGGCGTGCACGTGCAGTGAGTCACCTCCGCAAGCGAGCCCGTTGAGTAAACAACCGGCGTCATCCTGTCTGGTGGCTGACGCAATGCGCGGCGACGTCACTCGTCCTTGGGTGCAGCCACCTGCAGCGCAGCCTCTCCAGATTCGATGAGAAAGAAGGACGCGGCCCAGCGGCGATCTCATTGGAGGATTCTGACCTCGCGACCAGCGGCGCTTCGGGTTGGACATTCGGGTTGGACCCGGTGCATATAAAAGAAGCCCTGTGGCGCGTCGAAGAGACCCCCTTTGACAGCGGACCCATTTGAGAGCATGCCTATGTGTTAGAGAGGAGAGCTCGGCTCTTCGAGTCTCTGTCGGCCTGTGATATGTGTCGTGCGCGAAGCTTCAAAGTGCGCGCCATTCAAAGTGCGCGCCATTCAAAGTGCGCGCTTGAAGCAGACAACGACGAAGGTAGCACGAGCGCTGAGTAGCGGGGCGGCGAAGGTACGAGAAGGAACGAGGAAGACGGGGCTCTCGACTCGGCCGTTGGGTTCCGGACCCGAGCCTAGTAACAGTCGAGCCCGGCCTACCTGCCACGTTCTACCTGCCACGGCCGTGCGTCGCTGACGTGCTGCGGCTTCAAGGCATCCTGTGCTTGAGGACACGCGGAGCTGTCGGGCTACGGGCACGAGTTCCAGCAGAGGTGTCCGGCCTGTACGTGGTCGGTGGTGGTGCGTATACCCTTCAAGTTGCCGCCTCGTCTACCGTGCGAGCAACGCGGAGCTGTCGGGCTACGGGCACGAGCTCCAGCAGATGTGTCCAGCCGCGACGTGGCTGCGGGGGCGGAGCCTACCCATCAACTAGTCGCCTGGTTGACCGTGCGGACAACGCAAGCCAGCTCAAGACGTAGCAACGAACCTCGGTGAGACCGACCTCATGTCTTGTGTCCATGCTAAAAAGGAGGGACGGTTAGTTTAGGACTTTGATAGTTCACAGAGACAGTGAAGGATTTTTTAAATAGCCTGTCCATGTTATGTGTGTTCGTTTTTCGTGTGTATAAAGTGTGGCGTACAAACGGCCTCGTCTTTTCGTGGGAGTCTGGGGCGACGGCTCGGACACCCATTAACTAAGAACCTGCACGTTGCTATAACACCCACTGCAATGTAACACGGCCCCAGTGCCGAATTTGTAACGCCTCTGTATATATGCTGTACATACACCTTGTTTAACTCACTGTCGTCTCGTCCGCTCGTCTATCAGCTCTGCGCAGAAGCAGTCGCGAGCTGAGAAACCTACGCTACCAAACGGCTGGTGACCTTCCCTGCGGAGTTCGAACCAGTGGCGCCTTCGGGACCGTGTTGGCGTCGCCGTCTTTCGAAACAGTGGTTGCAACGGTGAGATTTCGAGGCGCCCTTCGTAACGTCGTCGGAGGTGCGCGTCGCAACAACGCCTAGGTGAACAGTAGAAATCACACCACTTGGTACAAAATACCGCTGAAATGGCAGCGTTTGGTAGTGTTGGCGAATCTGCAGCAGTTGATTGATCAGTGGCCTCCCTTTTCACTGGCTGTGTACACCTTAGGAAGCAGTATATCAATGACGTAGCGTGCGCCTCGCCTCCTACCACTCTGCGGCGCTTGCTGCAAGTGACTTCGGTGTTCACGTTTGGCCACGTGCGGGCTGCGTGAGGTGGACTGCATTGGATGGGGCGTCTAACGTGCGCTTGGCTGTTGTCTTGGCACGGCGCAAACTCGCCGTGCCGCCAGCCTACGTGTGAGGGTGACCGGTTCAGACCCTTTCCACGCGCTACCCGCCCAGTCAAAACACAAATACTGGGACCCCTGCTGCACCCAAGCGCGGAACAAATGAGCGAATCGGCGACGCTCTCTCACCCTTCGCTTGGGTGCGCGGGGCAAATGAGAGAATCGGCGACGCTCTTTCACTCTCCACTTGGGTGCGGCAACATTCGCGGCACGCGGGTTGCGGCTGGGTGGGTAACGCGTGGAAAGGCCATCACTCCCTTCTCGCATTCCCCACACGCCTTTCAATACATGTCGGTGAACTGAAATTGGGCACTTGCGTAAACAAACGGGTATTTCAACAGGTTTTACTTTGAACGCTTTAGGGGTCTCCGCGACGGCGCTGCCTGTCGGCTGGGAGAACAAAATCTAAGGCTATGTCATAAAGCAACGCCAGCTTCAGCCTTTATAGAGGAGTGAATCGGGGGCGAGGGAGGGCTAAGGGTAAAGTATTTCTTCCTAGCGTCAAATCTAGGCGTTGACAGACATGCGCTCCCTTGCTAAGGCAGCAAATTCTCGCGAAAACTGTGTGACTTTCCTCCGATGATTATAGTTATCTAGTGCTACAGCGTCTTCATGGCCTGACTCGCTTTCGGACGCTAAACTTGACAAACCAGTGAATTATTGTTTTGGGGATTAAATGAAGTTACTAACCAGAAGGGCCAATTGTATGGCATGGCATCCTTTTCCGCCGTGGGGCAGGCAGGCGGCTTCATCACCTGCCTGAAAAGTGGCGCGTTGGAGTGACTCATGATAAGTTTCTTGTCTCTCCCTCTCTCTATTGAGCAAATTAGTTTGTTAGGCATTTTTAAACGTAGCAATATATGATGTAATACATGTACCTAAACCTCTACTCTTACTTAAGAAGGGATGAACTCTACGCAGGGAAGGCTTCAGAAAAGGTGGTCGACGCATACGATGTGTTGGTGACCTGGAGCTACTTCCCAACCACCTTCAGCGTTTACTTGCAAGGGTCGATCTTGCCACCGCAGACAACAACAGGTTCGAGCCTTTCATGTAACATGCTTTGGCTGATGAAAAGCATGCCGTCGTTACAGTTGGCTAATATTGATAATAACATATGTATCTTGGCCTACAACGAATTCTAAAAGTCATTGCTGGGTGTGCAACGTGTGATTTAACTAAATTGGTATACACAGTATTTATTTATAGTATTCTCTGGGCCAAATTGTATTGTAGACGTGGCGTCATGCCACGTGCGCCATCGGAAAACTATGACAGCACCCGACGAGGTGTAGTTCACCAGTGGGCGAGACGGCAGCAAACCCGGCAATATGCTGAACAGTCCTAAGCTACAAATCAGTAGATACATTCCAACTCATGCTTATCAGTCAGATTACCAGTTTTTGCGGCTGCTGCTGTCCTGCTTATTGTGTGTCAATGACTTTTTGCCTGGCATAGTTAGCGCATTGTTCAGAAATCTTTTGGTTTGTGGAGACGTGGAACAAAATCCAGGTTCTTAAGAGAATGGCCTCTTGCAAAAAGCCACAGCATACGCACGAAATGAATGATGGCGAGTGGGTGAAGCTCTGGGAGATTATAAACACCCGTTCTTTCTTTCTCCCTTTTTTCTGTCTTCTTCCTTCGTTTCTTTCTTCCATAACGATGTCCACTCCATGATCATGAAAGATAGCCGAGAGCGAGCGTGTTTTATAGCAATTTGTGCGCCGCAGCGAACGAACAAGCGTGACACATGCGCATGCGCAATCATCGTTCTACTCCTCGACCTACTATCGGTGCGCTCGCGGCTGACTCTCCAAGCGCGTTCAAGCCAGTACAACAGACATCGGAGGGACAAGGCTCCACCCAAAGGTGCTTTACCTCTAAACCTGCCAAACGGGCAAAGTACAATCTTTGTAACTTCACAGCAAATACAGGCAACGCAAAATAAATTGCGTAGGAGCCTATCAAGGTTAAACAGGAAGAACTGCAGACATTGAGCGACGATTGGGTAGTTTTAGGTTGGTTAAGCTCAAAAGTAGTGGCATCGAATCATCAGTACCAAGCATCGACGAACAATGCGCTGAAGTTATCAGCATGTTGATGGCTTAGAAAATAGCAACAGGAGAAATAACCTAATGCCTTATGGCTTACATGATGCTATAGTCGATGCGGCACCATACTTGGAGCGGAAACTAAAATACGAAGTATTTATTGAAAAACTAGGAATCAACGTAACCGGAATTGAAGGGTTTGCAAGAGAAATTGAAAATAACTTCAATTGAGTTATTGCTAAATTTATTTACTACCAAGAAAAAAGTACCCTGCTTAAACCACCACATAAACTAAAGGTTAGTTTTTTGTCGCGACTTCCATAATTTTGAGGTGCGTACTGGACACTCGAAGGCTTTTATGGGAGAATGCTCAGACACAAAAGCAAAAAAAAAAACAAGGAAGTAAGGGTGGTTTGCGATAAGTTGTGCATTGACGGGGTTTTGTTTGATTGGGATGCTGAAAACAATCCCGTTATAAGCTATAAGGAAAGGTCCTCGTGTATGGTCTGAACTCAAGGGTAGCCCTTTGGGATTAATAATTGTTAGTTATACGAGCGTAATAATCAAGCATACAGATATGGAGGGAAATTCTTGAGTCGTTTAACGGAGATATGGTTATCCTGGCCGAAACCCGGTTAAGTGAAAAATGTATAACAGCGAGTTCATTCCACACGGTCACGGCGCATTCATGAAGGACAGGGGTAGCAGGAGTGGCAGTGTAGCCATCCTATTCCAAGGGAGCATTAAGCTTGTGAAAATGCCAGATATAGATGTTTAATGCTTTACTTGTAAGGCACACCTTGAAAATGTTAGATATATTCTAGTTTCTATGTACAGACCTCTTAGTTATGGTGCTGATGTTTTGGATTCCTTAAAGCTATACATGAGCGATCACATGAAGCAAGGTGACCGTTTCACTATGTCAGGGCAGTTTAACTTATCAAACGTTTAGTGGGCAACGATGTCGTTCAAAATGATAACGAGAGTTTAGAAGAAGCCATGCTTGACATTGTCTTTTATGTGTTTTGTTAATGACTGCATCGATAATGGGTACCGACTATTCTTAAGAAAAAAAAAACGAACCCTGGTTTTTTCGAGAGACGCTGACATGTAAAAGGCAGCTAAAGAGGCAGAAAAATAAAATAAAAAAAACTAGTTGCGTTCCACCAAGTGAATGACAGAAAACTCTCTCTCTTTTCATCCAAGCTTCGCATCCAACTATCTTCTGATAAAACACGTTACTACCGAGACTCGTTGCCTAAATTCATCGCCGCGTCTCCAGAGAAACTTCGGTAAGACGTGCCACCGAAACATCACCAATGTGATGTAATTGAATTTGATGGTATTCCCTTGGATGATGAGAAAAATTGCTAACTCATTTTACTAGCATTCCCACCCCATTTTTACCTTTGATGATGGTGTGTTACCTGGTTCAAAAAACTCTTTACCCCCCTATTTCTGATGTATTAATGGGGGGACAGGGTATCTTAAGCATGCTTTTTAAAACTTGATGAAAAGAAAAATTCAGACCCAGACGATTTACCAAGCCCATTCTTTAAAAAAATATGCCGATTGGATCTTATTATACTTGCACACTGGCTGACCGGCCAAGTTGTACCAACCAATAAACGCGGTGCCAAACTCTGTATAAAGAACTACCGACTTATTTCTTTTCCGCCTACCAGCTGCGAAATGCGATAGCGTAATATACGCATACATATCGTGCAATCTTTAAATGCAAATAAAAAATCTTGACGGAATGCCAGCATAAGTTTCGGAAAGGGTGCTCAACTTCTACACAGCTAGTTGCTATCATCCATGCTTTGTTCGTAGCAGTAATTAACGTTCAATAATTTGATGAAATCCTTACGGACTTCTCGAAAGCTTTCGACAGAGAACCAAACAGTAAATTATTACCTAAATTACATTCTTTGCGTGTAAATTGTCATCTGGTTAATTGTATTTCGCCAGCAATCTCTTGTAACAAGGGTTGGTCGTGGGGCCACTCCTATATATATATATATATATATATATATATATATATATATATATATATATATATATATATATATATATATATATATATATATATATATATATATATATATATAATGTATATATGTAATACTAAGAACTATAGCACACTGAACACTTATCCATGAGGCACGCCTGTTTGCAATTCTGTGTATTTCAGTGCATTTCAGTGCATGGAGAATTTTGGTCGTCAGCAGTTGCGCATTATACGCATTAGCAGCTACACATTATCAATGCTTTGCTGAAATCTAAAAAAAAAGGCGTAAGCTGTGTGATCCAGCCTATAATGCAGATGGCAACTGAACAAAGTAAGCCGAGTTTCGCAAGTGTATAATTTTGCAAAACTCTTTTCTGTATGAGTCAGATTGTAAAATCAACATGAGAGCGGACAGATGGAAACATTTAGTGGGATGTTCAGTGTTAACAGTGGAAGCGCCTCAGACAGGCTGGCCGACGTTTCAATAGGAGGACCTATCTTTCTCTTTGTCAGGCTTTTGAAAAAGATAGGTCTTCCTATCAACACGTTGGCCAGCCTGTCTGAGGCACTTACACTGTTCACCCTAAACATTCTCCAAGTCAGACTCTAGTAACTTTTTTTATACTAGTGCAGTATAAATGTTATTATCATTTGCAACAACTACCGGAAGATATATTGGTGGCTAATTAAGAGATGATTTTTGAGGGCCGGATCAATGAGTTGGTCCGCTTTCTCTACTTTTTATTATTTTTGAACTTGATACGAACTTAATCATTGTTCAATGACTCCAGTTGGTGTAATAGAACTAAGGATACTAATTATTTTAAGAGTGTATTATTATTACAGCCACAGCCAAGAGGGAAGTAGAATAGTAATTTATCTATTATCTACATTATTCCTGGTACCTTAACAACCACGAAATTCTTTGGCATGTAACCAAATTGGTACGAAATAGGAAGTTCAATTTTGCTATATTTACAGAACTGGATAAGAAATCATCAATAACTGAGACACACATGTTCCTGGAAAAATGACTGAATGCGCAGCATTTCTTTGCGTACTGCGAGCACTATTGGCGTCTATCTATCTATCTATCTATCTATCTATCTATCTATCCATATATATATATATATATATATATATATATATATATATATATATATATATATATATATATATATATAGTATAGTAGATCCTCCGTGAGCGGTCACAACGTGGTTTATTTCGACGTTTCGGCCTAGAGTCTGGCCTTCATCAGGAATAAAGATACAGTTTGTTGGTGCTCAGCTTTATACATTCTCAAATCAGAGGGCAAGGAAAGAGGGAAAAAAAGGAAAGAAAAAAAGGAAAAGGAAAGAAAAAAAGAAAAAAGAGAAAAATAATATACGGTGGACGCCCCTCGAGTTCCACTTTTCCTTCCACTTCCCCCCTCATCTCTCTCCCCCCTCTCCCCTTCACCTTTCTGATGTCAGCGGTCTGTGTATGTTTCCGTTCACTAGCGCATTCCTCCTGATCAGACGGCCCCTCCTGGCACTGGTGGTTCGGTGTGGGGCAAAAAAGAGCTTTTCAGGAAGTCCTAAGCCTTTAACTACTCGGGGTCCCGTAAACAATTCGTCGTAGAAGGCGGGGGCCGCGTATTGTGGCAGAGGCTGGTCAGCGGGCATTTTAGGAAGTTCTAAGCCTTTAACTACTCCGCGCCCTGTCAACATTTCGTCGTAAAAATAGGGGTGCCCCGTATTGCGGTAGGCTGTGCAAGTGCGTGCAATGCGAATTCCTTGCCCGCTTCTAAATTACGTGTGTCGTGGGGGCCTCCCGGCTGTGCACATGGTTGCTGTTGGGCATGTCGTGCATGGCACAATTGATTGGGTAGTAAAATAAAACAGAAAACACACGACAGCTGCACTTAGGAAGAGTATTTACACTTGGAATTGTTTTGGGTTGTCCAGTGCCCTTCGCAGCTGCAGTGCCGTGAACT